TTCAAAATTACTAGACTTGATGTAGTGCTAACTTTATTTAGAATTTTCACAACCATCTGCGCAAACAATCATTTTGAAATAAACAATAAAAATAAATACCGAGTGACTATAAACATTTGCGATTTTCTTGTAAGGTTGGCAACATATCTAAAATTTTATGGTGATTGTCAGTTTGAAATTTATGACACTAAATCAGTAGTTGTCATCTTTGCATCACATTTGTTAGGCGCCTTCATTTCAAAATTGACAACTGTGAATTAATAAATGTAGTACCAATAATTCAGAATTGCCAACTAATTCAGAACTGCCAACATAAAAATTTGCTTCTGTCATTAATAAGAATACACCACGGACTGACGCATATGTTTCTGACAAGCCAATTGAAATGTCAAAAAATAATTTCAAAATTACTAGACTTGATGTACTGCCAACTTTATTTAGAATTTTCACAACCATCTGCGCAGATAATCATTTTGAAATAAACAATAAAAATAAATACCGAGTGCCTAAACATTTGAGATTTTTTTATGAAGTTGGCAACATATCTAAAACTTTTATGGTGATTGTCAGGTTGAAATTTATGACAGTGAATCAATAGTTGTCATCTTGCATCACCTTTGTTAGGCGCCTTCATTTCAAAATTGACAACTATGAATTAATAAATGTAGTACCAATAATTCGGAATTGCCAACTAATTCAGGACTGCCAACATAAAAATTTGCTTCAGTCAATAATAAGAATACACCACGGACTGACGCATATGTTTCTGACAAGCCAATTGAAATGTCAAAAAAGAATTTCAAAATTACTGGACTTGATGTATTGCCAACTTTATTTAGAATTTTCACAACCATCTACGCAAACAATCATTTTGAAATAAACAATAAAAATAAATACCGAGTGACTATAAACATTTGCGATTTTCTTGTAAGGTTGGCAACATATCTAAAATTTTATGGTGATTGTCAGTTTGAAATTTATGACAGTAAGTCAGTAGTTGTCATCTTTGCATCACATTTGTTAGGCGCCTTCATTTCAAAATTGACAACTATGAATTAATAAATGTAGTACCAATAATTCAGAATTGCCAACTAATTCAGAACTGCTAACATAAAAATTTGCTTCAGTCAATAAGAAGACACCACGGACTGACGCATATGTTTCTGACAAGCCAATTGAAATGTCAAAAAAGAATTTCAAAATTACTTGACTTGATGTACTGCCAACTTTATTTAGAATTTTCACAACCATCTGCGCAGATAATCATTTTGAAATAAACAATAAAAATAAATACCGAGTGCCTAAACATTTGAGATTTTTTTGTGAGGTTGGCAACATATCTAAAATTGTATGGTGATTGTCAGTTTGAAATTTATGACAGTGAATCAGTAGTTGTCATCTTGCATCACGTTTGTTAGGCGCCTTCATTTCAAAATTGACAACTATGAACTAACAAATCTAGTACCAATAATTCAGAATTGCCAACTAATTCAGAACTGCCAACATAAAAATTTGCTTCAGTCATTAATAAGAATACACCACGGACTGACGCATATGTTTCTGACAAGCCAATTGAAATGTCAAAAAAGAATTTCAAAATTACTAGACTTGATGTACTGCCAACTGTATTTAGAATTTTCACAACCATCTGCGCAAACAATCATTTTGAAATAAACAATAAAAATAAATACCGAGTGACTATAAACATTTGCGATTTTCTTATAAGGTTGGCAACATATCTAAAATTTTATGGTGATTGTCAGTTTGAAATTTATGACAGTGAGTCAGTAGTTGTCATCTTTGCATCACATTTGTTAGGCGCCTTCATTTCAAAATTGACAACTATGAACTAACATATGTAGTACCAATAATTCAGAATTGCCAACTAATTCAGAACTGCCAACATAAAAATTTGCTTCAGTCATTAATAAGAATACACCACGGACTGACATACATGTTTCTGACAAGCCAATTGAAATGCCAAAAAGGAATTTCAAAATTACTAGACTTGATGTACTGCCAACTGTATTTAGAATTTTCACAACCATCTGCGCAAACAATCATTTTGAAATAAACAATAAAAATAAATATCGAGTGCCTAAACATTTGAGATTTTTTTGTGAGGTTGGCAACATATCTAAAATTTTATGGTGATTGTCAGTTTGAAATTTATGACAGTGAGTCAGTAGTTGTCATCTTGCATCACGTTTGTTAGGCGCCTTCATTTCAAAATTGACAACTATGAACTAACAAATGTAGTACCAATAATTCAGAATTGCCAACTAATTCAGAACTGCCAACATAAAAATTTGCTTCAGTCATTAATAAGAATACACCACGGATTGACATACATGTTTCCGACAAGCCAATTGAAATGCCAAAAAGGAATTTCAAAATTACTAGACTTGATGTACTGCCAACTGTATTTAGAATTTTCACCACCATCTGCGCAAAAATCATTTTGAAATAAACAATAAAAATAAATACCGAGTAACTATAAACATTTGTGATTTTCTTGTGAGGTTGGCAACATATCTCAAATTTTATGGTGATTGTCAGTTTGAAATTTATGACACTAAGTCAGTAGTTGTCATCTTTGCATCACATTTGTCAGGCGCCTTCATTTCAAAATTAACAACTATGAATTAACGTATATAGTACCAATAATTCAGAATTGCCAACTAATTCAGAACTGCCAACATAAAAATTTGCTTCAGTCATTAATAAGAATACACCACGGACTGACGCATATGTTTCTGACAAGCCAATTGAAATGTCAAAAAAGAATTTCAAAATTACTAGACTTGATGTACTGCCAAATTTATTTAGAATTTTCACAACCATCTGTGCAGACAATCATTTTGAAATAAACAATAAACATAAATACCGAGTGCCTAAACATTTGAGATTTTTTTGTGAGGTTGGCAACATATCTAAAATTTTATGGTGATTGTCAGGTTGAAATTTATGACAGTGAGTCAGTAGTTGTCATTTGGCATCATGTTTGTTAGGCGCCTTTATTTCAAAATTGACAACTATGCACTAACAAATGTAGTACCAACAATTCAGAACTGCCAACATAAAAATTTGCTTCAGTCATTAATAAGAATACACCACGGACTGACGCATATGTTTCTGACAAGCCAATTGAAATGTCAAAAAAGAATTTCAAAATTACTAGACTTGATGTACTGCCAACTTTATTTAGAATTTTTACAACCATCTGCGCAGATAATCATTTTGAAATAAACAATAAAAATAAATACCAAGTGCTTAAACATGTGAGATTTTTTTTGTGAGGTTGGCAACATATCTAAAATTTTCTGGTGATCGTCAATGTGAAATTTATGACACTAAGTCAGTAGTTGTCATCTTGCATCACGTTTGTTAGGCGCCTTCATTTCAAAATTGACAACTATGAACTAACAAATGTAGTACCAATAATTCAGAATTACCAACTAATTCAGAACTGCCAACATAAAAATTTGCTTCAGTCATTAATAAGAATACACCACGGACTGACGCATATGTTTCTGACAAGCCAATTGAAATGTCAAAAAAGAATTTCAAAATTACTAGACTTGATGTACTTCCAACTTTATTTAGAATTTTCACAACCATCTGCGCAAACAATCATTTTGAAATAAACAATAAAAATAAATACCGAGTGACTATAAACATTTGCGATTTTCTTGTGAGGTTGGCAACATATCTAAAATTTTATGGTGATTGTCAGTTTGAAATTTATGACAGTGAGTCCAGTAGCTGTCATGTTCACATTACGTTTGTTAGGCACGTTCATTTCAAAATTGAAAACTATTTTTCTGTCATTTAAAAAAAACACGATGTAATCTATGCTTTGCTGTCACAATGATTGACACTTTTAAAAAATATTTTTTTTAATGTAGTATCACATAATCAGAAATGACTGGGTCTGTTGGTAGTAGTTTTTAAACAAAAAATCTTTTACAGGTTTTTGTTTTATTTGCGGCTTTTTATAAATGTAAAAACCTTAGTAACCTTAGGGTTTTGCACAGCTGTTAACTTGGTGTCAAAAATGTCAACAGGTATGCCTTCATAAAATTTTAATATGTTGCCAACCTGACAAAAAAATCACAAACATTAATAGTCTGTCAATTGTATGTGCTAGCATGAAATCTCGCGTAGAATTTTTCTGTCACTTGGAAAAAATTGGATGTAGAGTAAGCTTTATTGTTGTATTTGTTGTTAAAATAATAAACCGACAAGCATGACTAAAATTACAAGTAAGGTTATGGTACCTAAGGAGCGTTTCACAAATTATGTTAGTGAAATGACATCAGTGTCCGACATTCCGTACTAGCAACTGTACAACGTAATCAAGTACTGTTTCAGTTGGTATCAATGAATTTTGCTTGAAATTGTCACTTCCTGTTGTCAAAAACTGACATGGTTAACAGTGACATTTAAGTTTTTATTTTACAATGGTAAAAATGTAGGTTAACATGCCAGTGTCACTACTAGTCACTACGTCTAGTGAATTTTCAAATCCACATTATATCTATCACTTGTGTCATTCTGTTTTGACACTTAAATGTAGTGGTTAGGCTACAAAATTTCGACAAATCTAGTGTAGGCAACTGATTTTGGTCTCGTTAAGTTTTTCTTTAAGAACTTCGCAAAGCAACGAAAAATTGTATCATACAATGTGTTAAAATGGTGGATGCGCCGGTTTCTAACTCACCTAATAATTTTCCTTGATGGCAGATAATTTTTAGCAATCTTTTAAAGTCCGTCTTCACAAATATTTTTGAAAGTATTTCGAGAAACGTTTAAAAACAAGCTCGGAAAAAACGTATTCGATTTTTTGAAAAATGAGTTGATTTATACCTGGGTAATAGGGAGAATCTCGCAGTTCTAGGACTCTAAAAAGTGAAAGTTTGGAATTTTATACAAAACGTTTGCGTCACCTTGTCTAATTATGCCAGTAAAAAACAAAACACACAAAATAATAACCCCAGCTTTATTGAACCAAATATTGTTAATATAAAATTACTCATATATCTCAAAAATGTTTATCCAGATTCTTCCACCATTGAATTTGTTCCAGTTAAGATCAATTCTATCAATACTAACATTAGCCACCCAATCTGGATTCCAACTATCAATTTCGTTAGCAGCCAAATCTAAAATATGAATATGCCCCACATTATGAAAAGCTTTCATTGAAATTTTCGAAATTTTGTTGTGTGCAAGATCAATATGAAACACGTCACGATAATTCTTGAAGGCCTCATCTGGAATTTCAGTAATTCGGTTGTTATTAACGATTAAAGCAGAAAGTTCTGATGATCCAGCTAACCAATTATTATCCCACAGAGTTAGATTATTATTATACATAATACTCAACCGCTTGAGTTTTGGCATATGGTCAAAAGCTTTTGTCGCAATTGTAGCAATTTGGTTGAACTGCAGATTTAAATCCGTGATAGTAGTGTTGTTGAAAACTCCATCTGGAATTTCTGTCAACATGTTAGATTCAAGTGTTAGCTTCTTCAATCGGGGTAAGTTTTTCAAGTCTCCAGGTCGTAAAAGCTTGATTTGGTTGTAACTCAAATCGAGTGATGTTAATTCAGGATGATTAAAATTGTCTGAATCGATTGATTCAACTCGGTTGATTTTGAGATTTAAATTTCTCAACGAACGTGGTAGTGCTTTTGATGATATAGTGTGCATGCGATTACTACTCAAATCCAAGCTTTTGAGTGTCACATTTTCGAAAATGCCAAGTGGAAGTTCAGTACGTGAATTGCCACTGAGGGCTAGTTCTCCAATAATGACGTTCTTGAAAGCTCCAGGTTGCAGAGATTTGATTGAACTAAATGCCAAGTTTATCAGGGACAGGTTTAGGTTACTAAAGGTACCACTTTTAATTTCAGTTATTTTATTCTCACTTAAATCCAAATATCGTAAAAGTGGTAAGTTTCCAAAGGCTCCCGGTTTGATTTCTTTCAAACTCTCCTCATTTAGTTGCAGCGATTCCAAATTATGTATATCATGAATTGATTGTTCATATAAAACGGGAACGACGCCAGTAACTTTTACTGACAGTTTTTCTCCACTAGGGATGATTTTCTTCAAATTGTCAGCGGTACCAAGTCTTGTTTCATTTTTGCTAGCGGTTACATACAAAATTGTCACATTTTTGAAAGTGATTTCTCGAGCATCACTAATTTTAAGTAGAAAAATAACGAGAAGTAGTTGGAACGGCAAAGAACACATTTTGAATACTGAACTGGTGTTTAGAATGAGCAGCGTATTAATAAACTGGGGTCAAGACAGTGATAGTGACCTCTCCAAGGCAAACTGCAATAAACATATTCAGCATTCATCATCAACGGCCCACTCCGTTTGTCCGAAAATTCACGTTTCATAACCCCTTGAATACGAAAACATAAGTCTCTTGTTTCCGTCGTTTGTGTCAATTTTGCCGAATAAATGTAAAATATGTACAATGTTAATTCTAGAAATTACAGAAATTCTAAAATTCTGGCCGAATTTTTGAAAAGATCCCAAATGTTGCGAAAGTCCACATATTCTAAGCTTTACAAAAGTTTTACGGCTTTCAAGGACGCCAAAAACTCTAAGGACTACAAGAATTTTGGAAATTCCAAAAAATTAAAAAAAGCGAGACAAGCCGGCAATTTAAAGGGATTTCTGTGATTTCAAAAATTTCGAAGATTCCACAGATACCAAATATTTACAAATTGAATTAATAAAAATCCTGCAGTATGTTAAAAATAATGAAAATCCGAAAGCTGTAAAGATTGTAGAAATTCTAGTGATTCTAGATTGTAGAGATTCTAAAGATTCCAAAGTTACCAATGATTTGAAAGATTGAAAAAGGACAAAAGCTTTCACGGATTACATATACCAGAAATTGCGAAGTCAAAAGACACTTAAGGTTCTAAATAAGTTCTAATGTTCTAAATATAAGAAACATCCAACAAGATCTTAAAAATTTTAAACAACGTGGGGGTACTAAGGATCCTAGAAGAAAGTGTCCAAAATTTCCACATATTGGAAAGACTCTAAAGAGTCTAAAGACTAAAAATTTTAAAGGCTCCAAAGGATCTAAAGACTCTAAGGACTCTAAGGGGTCAAAAGCTAAAATTCTATTTTGAATAATTGAAAGATTCTAAAAGTTCTAGAGAAGTTCCAATAAGCCAAAGATTCTAAAACTAGCAAAAATCGCGTGAAATCTTAAAATGCCACCCTAATTGTTATCTCAGAAATCTTGGAGACTGTAAAGATTCCAGAGATTCCAAAACTTCCAAAGATTTAGACTCTTGAAACTAAGTGTTAGAAAATCTGAAGTAATTTAGAAAATACAAAATATTGGAAAATGTTGATTTTCAAAATACTGCTATAACTGGAGCTTGATATAATTTTAGAACTTTTAGAAAATGTGAAAATTCTGGTCATTTTGTGTACTTCGGAAAATCTGAAAAATTGGGTTAATCTGGAATATTCCTGTAATTTTGAAAATTACGAAAATTCCCGAAAATTAAAAGAAATTAAAAAAAATATTAAATTTCAAAATTTCAAAAGATTTGCAGATATTCTAAAAATTCTAAAGTATGTAAATGTTTAAAATATTTAAAAGGTTTCAAACCTTTCAAAAATTCTAAAAACTTGACACATTGTAAAAATCTTAAAGATTTCATACACTAGAATTTGCGATATATAAAGACACCAAACATGCTAAATAAACTAAAGTTTTAGGTTCTAAATCGAAGAAACATCCAACAAAATCTTAAAAATTGTAAAGATCTTGGAAGTATTAATCTTTCTAGAAATTATAAAAATTCTAAAGATTCTATAATTTGTAAAAAATGCATGAACTCTTAACATGACAAAAATTTTAAAGATTCCAAGGACTAAACAAAACAAATATCCTAAAAATCTAAAAATTGTAAAAATCTGATGAATGCTTTTTTTAATTTTTATAAATCCTATATGAATTCAGGGTCTCGAATACCTTAATTACTATCTTGTACATCCCAGAGATTCCAAAATTCCAAAGATTTTAAAACTCTTGGCGTCTATTAATTTTAGAAAATCTGGAAATATCTAGAAAGTGTGAAAAATGTGAAAGACCTAGAAATCTTGAAAACTGAGGAAAATGTTGAATTCTGGCATATCCGAAGACTGATATTTTTGTAATATTTAGGAAAGCTGCAACTTTTGGAAATTATGAAAATTTACTCAATTCTAGAACATTTTGCTGAATTTGTGAAAATATTTCAAAACTGTGAAAGTTCAAAGTCTTCTCTAAGTTTCAAAGATTTCAAGGATTCCATGGGTGCCAAAATTCTAAGGAGTCTATTAATACTAAATTGATATATGTGCCCTTGCTAAAATGTTAATAACGTTATCAAACAAAATTTATATGGAAAACTGACTATAAAGATGAAAAAAAGAATTCTCAAAGTTAAAGTTGATAATAATTTTTCGAAGTTTCAACCAATTTTTTTAGTGAAAAAATGATCGCATTTAAAAATTCACAGCTCTACGATTCTTAACAGTGGTGGTTTGGATTTTTTTTTCTGATTCGTAACATTATTAATAATAAAATATCAAAATTTAGACGAATTAATTAATAAGAATGTTTTTGTATTTTTATGGAAAAAATTGTCACAGATGCCAAATATTTACAAATTGAAAATAAAAATCCTGCAATATGTTAAAAATAATGAAAATCTGAAAGCTCTAAAGATTGTAGAGATTCTAAAGATTCCAAAGTTACCAATGATTTGAAAGATTGAAAAAGTACAAAAGTTTTCACGGATTACATATACCAGAAATTGCGAAGTGTAAAGACACTTAAGGTTCTAAATACGTTCTAATGTTCTAAATATAAGAAACATCCGACAAAATCTTAAAAAATTTAAAGAACGTGGGGGTACTAAGGATCCTAGAAAAAAGTGTCCAAAATTTCCACAGATTGGAAAAACTCTAAAGAGTCTAAAGACTAAAAATTTTAAAGGCTCCAAAGGATCTAAAGACTCTAAGGACTCTAAGGGGTCAAAAGCTAAAATTCTGTTTTGAATAATTGAAAGATTCTAAAAGTTCTAGAGAAATTCCAAAAAGCCAAAGATTCTGAAACTAGTAAAAATCGCGTGAACTCTTAAAATGCTACCCTAATTGTTATCTCAGAAATCTTGGAGACTGTAAAGATTCAAAAGATTCCAAAATTTCCAAAGATTTAGACTCTTGAAACGAAGTTTTAGAAAATCTGAAGAAATTTAGAAAAGGTGGGAAAAATGTGGTGGACCTAGAAATCTTGAAAATATTGGAAAATGTTGAATTTCAAAATACTGCTATAACTGGAGCCTGATATAATTCTAGAACTTTTGGAAAATGTGAAAATTCTGGTCATTTTGTGTACTTCGGAAAATCTGAAAAATTGGGTTTATCTGGAATATTACTGAAATTTTGAAAATGTTGCAAATTACGAAAATTCCCGAAAATTAAAAGAAAATAAAAAATATTAAATTTCAAAATTTCAAAAGATTTGCAGATATTCTAAAAATTCTAAAGACTTGACACATTCTAAAAATCTTACAGATTTTATACACTAGAATTTGCGATATATAAAGACACCAAAGATGCTAAATAAACTAAAGTTTTAGGTTCTAAATAAAAAAAATTGGTCTAAAGAGTTTAGACAGTACTTCCCTCGCTGTCGGAAACGTGACGACTGCATGCCTATTATGTTTTTTTTTCGCAGTGGATTTCAAAGAATTCGGTTTTGTAGTTCCTGAGTAAATCAAAAAAATAAATTTACGCATTCATTAATTTTTTTGAGTCACCCTGTATATGCAAATCCAAAAAAAAAATCAATGGAGTGATAAATCACAAGTACAGACTCATCATATTTTGTACAGTTTAGATAGGATTTATTCGGCAAACTTTCGAGCTGACGTCATCAATTTTTTGGAGGGGATAAGCAAATGTATTTTGACTAAACATTTATTATGCTCTTTATAACCTTAAAACATCTGCAAGATTTCAAAGCATTCGGTTTTATAGTTCCTGAGTAAATCAGTAAAATAAATTTACGCTTTCATTATTTTTTTTTAATCACCCTGTATATGCAAATCCAAAAAATATGAACGGAGTGATAGATCACAAGTACAGACTGATCATATTTTGTACATTTTAGATATGATTTATTCGGCAAACTTTCAAGCTGACGTCATCAATTTTTTGGAGGGGATAAGCAAATATATTTTGACTAAACATCTATTATGCTCTTTATAACCTTAAAACATCTGCAAGATTTCAAAGCATTCGGTTTTGTAGTTTCTGAGTAAATCAGTAAAATAAATTTACGCATTCATTAATTTTTTTGAGTCACCCGTATATGCAAATCCAAAAAATATGAATGGAGTGATAGATCACAAGTACAGACTCATCATATTTTGTACATTTTAGATATGATTTATTCCACAAACTTTTGAGCTGACGTCATCAAGTTTTTGGAGGGGATAAGCAAATATTTTTTGACTAAAGATTTATGATGCTCTTTATAACCTTAAAACATCTGCAACATTTCAAAGCATTCTGGTTAGCAGATTAAAAATTAAATTTCAAAATGTTGTTTTATAATTTTGATTTTTTTTCCAAAAATCTGGACGTTTCGGGTGAAAAGTCGATTCGGAGTTGTAAACTACATGTGTAGGACTATGTTATTTTATGCAATTGAAAACCCATTTACTATGTACAATTTTGAAGTGACGTCATCGCATTAGTGGTGGGGATGATTAGACAAATTTTGGTTAGCGTTTTACCATCTACATGATATTCTTAATATAAGTACAAAATTTTACAACAATCGGTCGAGTACTTTCGGAGATTATCTGTCTAATAAAAATCCGGGACAACAGACGGACAGACGGACGGACAGACGGACGGACAGACGGACGGACAGACAGACGGAAATGGGAGACCTATTTCTTCGTCTTCTAGGGGTCATGAAAGATCGAGAAAACGTAAAAGTAGAGAGTCGGCCGACGGACTCGATTACAATACTTCCTTTGCTTACGCTCGGGAAGTAAAAAAACATCCAACAAAATCCTAAAAATTGTAAATATCTTGGAAATATTAATCTTTCTAGAAATTATAAAAATTCTAAAATTTATAAAATTTCTAGTGATTCTGAAGTATCCAAAATTTCCAAAGATTGTTAAGACTCTAAGGACTCTGAAAACTCTAAAGTTTCTAAATACT